ATAAAATTGAAAGAATAAGAACTGATTTAAACTCTGATATGTTATATGTAAATACAAACATAGTTGTTAATGAAAATCTTGCAATTATGAACAAATCAACATTGAGTGAATTTAAAGTGGTATCAGAGAAAGATGTCTTTAAGTATATCAAAGAGTCCCCCGCTAAAACATGCGACTTAGACCCAATACCCACTTCATTGTTAGTTACGAGCATCGAAGATCTCGCACCATATTTTACTCGTTTTATTAATATGTCACTCACCGCTGGAATCGTGTCGGATCTTTTCAAACAAGCCATTGTAAAACCTTCACTTAAAAAACAAGGTCTAGATGAAAACGACATGAGAAATTTTAGGCCAGTTTCCAATCTTAACTTCATATAAAAAATCCTGGAGAAAATCGTTTTGTGTCTAGTTCAACAACATCTTAAGGCCAATGACATGGAAGAACCTTTTCAATCTGTTTATAAAAGGCACCACAGTACGGAAACCGCCCTTTTAAAGGTATCATCAGATGTTTTAAATGAAATCGAGAGTAAAAAAGTCTGTGTTTTGGTTCTACTTGATTTGTCAGCGGCATTCGATACCGTCGACCACGAAATTGGAAAAGTCTTTTTTACTATCAGGTACTGTTTTAATGTGGTTTAAATCATATCTAGAAAATATAATTAAGTCAGTGAAAATTGGCAATGATGTGTCAGATAGGTTATCTCTAAAGTACGGAGTACCTCAGGGTTCGGTCCCTGGTCCTGTCTTTACAATGTACCCAAATTCTGTCATCAATAATTTCTTTATATGCTCTCAATTACCATCTTTATGCAGACGATACACAGCTGTATGGATTCACTACAACTGACAATGTACACAATCTCTTAGATAGAATCGCCAGATGTATCAATGATATAAGAAAATGGATGCTCAAGAACAAATTAAAATTAAATGAGGATGATACCGAAATATTATTTCTTCGTAGCAGCGCATGCAATGAAATCGACAATATCAGAATAAACATCAATGGCAACGAAATATCAGCCCAAACTAAAATAAAAAATTTAGGAGTAGTGCTAGATCAAGATATGTCAATGAAATCCCATGTATCCAATCTTTCTAAAAAAAATCTATATCTCCAACTGAAGAAAATAGGGAGCATTAGAAAATATCTATCTGTTGGTGTCACCAAAGCTTTAATAACATTACTTATATTGTCAAGGATTGATTATTGCAATTCCTTACTGGCTGGTGTACCTGATGAACAGTTACAACAACTACAAAGAGTACAAAATATTGCTGCCAAAATAATTACTAAGAAACTAAAGCATGATCATGTGACTCCTATTTTAAAAGAATTACACTGGCTCCCGGTGAAAGAGCGTACTATATATAACATCTGTTTAACTTGCTACAAGTGCATACATAATTTATCACCGGACTATTTAAAACAATTTTTAACACCCTATGTGGCTCCTAGAACGCTCAGATCACCAAGTGACAAAACAACCCTTGTTAAGCCTAAAATAAATTACAAATCATATGGCCAATGCTCTTTTCATTATTTTGCCCCACTTGTTTGGATTAGGCTTCCAAAAACTATCAGAGAAGCAGAAAATCTAGAAATTTTTAAGAAGGAACTAAAAGCATTTCTATTTTCATCATATTTCGATTAGACAGAATTCATCCAAGCTGTAGATAGTTTTGAGTTTGTTTGTGCGTATATCCATATGTACGTAGGTGTGTATTTGTGTATGCATGTGTGTATGGTGCGTGTGTGCGTGAATATGTGTGTGCACGAGTATGTAAAACTATGTGCCTTTAAAATTGATTTGTATATCCATAATATGTATCATGGTAAGCGCATAGAGCATTGCATAAGTGGATATGCGCTATATAAATGCAATCTATTTTATTATTATTATTATTATTTTGCCAGCCCAGTCAATACTTTGAGGTTGTCAATTCACATTGTGCGTTGTCCACGATTAGTCCTTTTCCCCGCTCATCGTGCTTTCCACTTTTATATTTATTCTTCATAATGGTCTGGCTACATACATGTATGTATATATATAAACATACATATATATTATTATATAAACATATATATTATGTATATGTATATAAATATATATATCTATGTATAGATATAGATATAGATATAGATATAGATATAGATATAGATATAGATATATATGGGTAAGCACCACCGATAAAATTTTACAGGATAAGCAAAAAAACCCGACTGATTATTTATTTTTATTTTTTTTTATTTTAGAGAACTTAAAAACTTTTGCACTTAAAAAGCAATTTATATGATTCTTCGCCTTCTCACAAGTTGTTGGAATTAGTAAAATCCAATAATAGCATAGAAAAGCTCTTACGAGATTTCTGCTCGAGTATATGTCGTGAACCCGACCTGTAGGCGACAAGCGTGTAGCATGCGAGGTCCTGGTCTGAACCGGTTGTCGTCATCTGATATCGCTTTGGTTGTTTTGTTCTCGAGTGAATCATTGATGACGGCATGTATGTGTGTGTGTGTGTGTGTGTGTGTGTGTGTGTGTGTGTGTGTGTGTGTGTGTGTGTGTGTGTGTGTGTGTGTGTGTGTGTTGTGTGCTTGTCGGTATTTGTGAGAGAGAGAGAGAGAGAGAGAGAGAGAGATCGTCGGAGAGAGAGAGTCAGGGAGAGCAGGAGGTCGGGTGCTGAAGCTCAAGAGTCCGTGTTCTTCCCTCACAGACAGACAGCCAGTTAGACTTACAGACAGACCCCCCTCGTCTATACATACCGACAGACTTTAAGACCGACAGACTGCTCGACAGAAATAGAGAGCGAAAAAGAAAGGCTTTAGGGACGCGGGAGTGAGCGAGGGAGGAAGTGAGTTAGTCATTGACTCTCAAGTAAGATAGTGGCTTGGACAGAGTGAGCAGCTGAGCGTCA